TCAGCAGGAGCATGATTTTACACCATGACTGTATGTGTATAGATACACGCACACATGTCCACACATTCATTCTGTACAAAGGTACACATACATTTTTTACATTCTTTGGTGGAAAAATAATAATTAAAAAAAAAAAACAAACCACAACAAACCACAGGGTTGCACAGACTGTGCATCTTTGCTTAATGAATCTGCTTGAGGAAAATTGGGGTCACTGAAACAGGAGTTATTTTGTCTCTTTAAGGACTGTTCCATGCATTGACAAAATGTCATACATTTACAATGACTAAAACAGGGCACAAGGAAAACCATCGTAACCACAGCTCACATGACAGATAACTCAGAGAGAGATCTCTCCTACTCACATCAACACAGCGTGAGAGAAGCAGCAGCCATACGCTTTCACCTACAAGTACTCAAACGTTTCCTCAGTTACTGTCCGGATGTCGTGTTGAGCTGCAGCACACCCTTCTTCTGCCCTGGCTGTGGGGTTTCGCTTTTGTTGCTTATTAAAACTGAAGTAACAGAGGATGGGATATTGGGAGCAGCAAAGGAGGCTGGCAGGTCAATGCCATGCCAAAGGGTTGTCAGCCTGTGTGCTTCAGATGAACAGCTCTTCTTGTCACCACCTCTGGGATGTCAAACCTGCATCTCAGAGGTGCTGATGAGGCCCAGTGCTTTGGCTTCTTCTGGTGTCAGTCCGCTCTTTAGTGTCCTTCTCACTGGATGGTCATAAATTTGAAAAGCAGGCAAAAAAAGAAAAAAGACCAACAAAGAAAATGAAAACAATTAGCAGCGATAATTACAGAAGACTTTCAGCTGAAGAAAACCCTGTTAACATGCAATCTGAGACAAATCAAAAGTTGCTATGTAATCAGGGCCTCAGGTTCAGAAATACTGAGTAATGCCCTATGCCAAATCCACAGGAGCATCAAGTACCCAGCAACTCCAGTCAGGCAAAAAAACATTGTCATCGACATTTAGCCTCTTAAGGAAAAATACCACAAAATTTTAAATTTTTTTTCTCTGAAATTGTACCAGTTTAGTCCATAGAAAGTATCATCTGCCCTATTATTTTACAGTTTCATACAGGTTTTTTAAAAGACCTTTTGGATCTTTATAAGGTTCAACTGAATTTATCACGATTAAATCTTATGTCACCCTTAAAAGTGTAAAAAAAAAAACAAACCCAAAAAGTTAAAAGATTAAAAATGTGACTATTTGTAATTGATTCAAATCATTAAAACTATTGTCTTCATACAGGATTCCCTTTCTTTTTTAATGTTGCCCCGCCCTAGCCCCATTTGTGTCATCTTTGATAGTAGTAGTCTGCAGCATTTCAGTTGAATTTAAGTGATAAATCTAGGCCAAAATCTTGTTTCTTAATTTTCTATGAAGTGTTCTGAACACCAGCCCTGACATAAAACTTTTAAAATTTGTGATTGCCTTTTTTATTCAGAAACAAGTGACTATGTGACTGCACACACTGAGCGTTAGCGTCCTCCAAGTTTTTTTCTGGCACCATAATTTTCAGGTGAATGGGCTTTAGTTCAAGACACAAATGGGGTATTCACTCCACACTTCGATGTTCCTCAAGTAGAAAACACACATTCAGAAGTTTAAGGTGCATGCAAAGCACAAACAATGACTTTATGTTGACCAAAATCTATTCGGAGCCCCAACATAATGAAGTCTAGAGGAAACTCTGAGACAAACCAACTGCAGACAAAAGTTAAGGACTTCTTGCATTGCTGTCATCTGGCACAATTAAGACCTCAAACTCAATAAGATATTCAGTCCATGTAACTGAAACTGGGTGCTTACACTCAAGAGTCTAGCAGGAGTGAGAGGAGGGAATGGATTTGTATAGGAAACAAGAGGGTAAGAGAATGGGAAAGTATGGTGTAGTTGAAAATTTGATACCATGCAGGTTAGGATGAATGTCATCTATGTTTTATAGTCAAACCACCTTCGTCAGTTACTGAGGTTAATCAAATGAGCTGGGAGTGCCACATATGTAATTGTTCCTCCATTATCAAACCGTTACTTGAAAGTTTTTCTTCAAGGCCCTGTCCTTTCTGCTACAGGATTTGCATACTTATTAAACACCCCTAGGAGTCAGCATGGCAGCCTTTTCTGATATCCATTTTTTCTTACAATACTGATCAGCAACATCTTTCAAGTTTAACAATGCTTAGCTTAAAGCAGAACAAGGTTAAATGCAACTGATAAAGCTAACATTAAGAAAGACTTTTTAAAGTACTACCAGAAGAGCAATACACTTTAAAAAATGCTTTGGTCTCCATGGCACAGAAAACCCAACATCTCATCACTGGAACCCTTTTATACTTCTCAAATTTGATATCCAAATGTCCACAGTGATAAATGTTAATTTCTAGACATGAGCTATGAAATACCTTAGGGTCTTAAGGTCTCAGTGAATGACCCAATACTTATTTCTATATCAAAATGAACTATATCAGGATTGAAAGAACACATACAAGAAAGCTGCAGCAGAAACACGTCTGTCTCATTAGAAGCAGAGACTTCCCTGCTTACCTGCCTGCACTGCCTCTCCCCTGAACATGGTTTTTTTTCTATACCCTCTATAACACACAGCCTAACACAGACCATGGCCATAGCTAGCTTGGCCACCAAACCATAGAGTCACATTAACATAGACTAGCAGCCTTCCAGTACCTAAAGGGAGCCTACAGGAGAGATGGGGAGGCACTCTTTATCAGGGAGTGTAGTGAGAGGACAAGGGGTAATGGGTATAAGCTGAAAGAGGGCAGATTTAGATTAGATATTAGGAAGAAATTTTTTACTGTGAGGGTGGTGAGGCACTGGAACAGGTTGCCCAGGGAAGCTGTGGATGCCCCATCCCTGGAGGTGTTCAAGGTCAGGCTGGATGAGGCTTTGAGCAACCTGGTCTAGTGGAGGGTGTCCCTGCCCATGGCAGGGGGGTTGGAACTCGATGATCTTTAACCATGATGATCTTTAACCACGATGATCTTTCCAACCCTAACCATTCTATGATTCTATAATGCAACTGATTTTCAGAAGAGCTTATCAGAAACCAGCTGAAAGTCTCTGTCACTAGACTTAAAGTGCAATTGGATATTGCTCCGTAAGAGAGTATTCCTCCTCTGTAGACATGAATTAACCACAGTAGCTATACTGTTGAACCAAGGAAATTGGCCACCATCAGAGAAAAAATATGCATACAGGAGACTGAACTTTCACAGGATGGCTGCCTAGACAACATTACATCTTTCCACTGAAGGCAAAAGTGAACTGGGAAACTGAACGCAGATCAAATTTCCACATTTTAGACATTTCAGCAGAAGTCTCAAACCAAATGTATTCATGACTACTCTCACACATATCCCCCAACTCTCTCAGACCACAATGACATTCGCAAACAGAGCACAACAATCATTGTAAAACAAAGCTCTTTTTCTTGTCAGATGGTAAGGCAGGAAGAGTGAGGGAATGCACAATTGTTATTCCTCTTTGTAAACTTTTATTAGGAACTAAGGTGCTCTGCTAATGTTTGTCATATAGTGGAATAAGCACAATTCTGGTCTTATTTATGACAATGTAAATCTGGAATAATCTTCTTCAGGTCAGTACAATTACTACTGAGAAAATAACTGGGGCTGAGACTTTGTCTAACAACTGAAACAGAAATGTGTACCTCTGTGACTTCGATCAAGTAGAATACAGTTGTTTAAATTTCTCCATCAGTCTGAGTTATGGGATTAGTAGTTTACTAGGAAAAGCCAAATGGATTTACAATAACATCGGTCTCTTTGAAGAAAATTATTAGGAGTTTATATTCAGAAGTCATAATCAGGAGTTAAAATGACATGGTAGAAACCATCTTCATGGAAAAACAGGGAAGAAAATTAAGGAGTCTTCTTTACATAAGCAAGATTTCTCTCTGAAACTCCAGATACCTATCTACCTGTCAAACACACTAAAGTCTTAGTCCGAGGACGTCCTGTATAACCCTTAGATGACTGAAAAAGAGAGATACTGTACGCAGCATGTGACAAGGACAAGGACCCTGTTCTGGGTTTGCAGTATGATTCACACAACGGAGGCCAACAATTGTACTTTTTATGCCACTGCAGAACAAGTAGGAATGATAACATTCAATGAATTGCTGCAACATAGGCAGCTGTAATTAAACAAAACAATCTCTTTGCATCCCTCCGTTGATTGTTCTAACTCAGCTCAGCTACAGAGAAAGATAACTTGGATTTAAGATATTCCAGTGACCTAAGCTTTTCACGTGAGCAGTTAGGAGAAAAGAGCTCCAAACAATGTAGGACTTTGGCAGTCATAATGAGACTGTCAGGAAAACAGTTAATAAAAAGCAAAGATGTGAAGAATCTTTTCAATGACAGAATGGTTCCCATAAACAGTGACAGCTGCTGACTTACATAAACTAAGTGTGTGGGGCCAAATACTGCAAAGTGCTGTGACTACTGACAAGATTAAAGCTGTCCACCATCAACAAGCTGCCGGAAGGATAACAGCTGATGGAATCATGGTCCAGACTCAATTGAGTGAATTCTTGCCCCTACAATGCAATAGGCCCGTCTGACACAGACAAATCCACTTGTGGTTTGCAGTATTTTGTACTTAGACAGATGAAAATGGCCTGATAGAGGGTCTCTTTATATGTAAATCATACCTAATATGTGCCAATTACTCACAGTACATTTCCTCAGCTGAAGATACAGTGGATGGATGCGGTATCAGTAGCAACACAAGAGCAAGTTCCTGCCCCACTATTCTCTGCACTGGCTTGTGGACTATGGAGGCTCATGAGTGATGAAGCCAGGAGAAAGTTGAGTTATCTACAGGTGCAGGGACTACTCTGGGAGGTGGGTGAATCTTGTCTTGATATGCTGTTAAACAGATGTTCTCAGACATTTGTCTGTTTCCTCATAAAGCGCTTGGTAGGGTTCCTCTACCTTAAGAAAGGTCATGGACACATTCAGTCATCAAATTTGAATGCAGAGAGATATTTCCCTTCCATGTTTTATAGGCACTGCAAAATTACATTTTTCAAATTAGATCTTCACTCTCCCCTCTTCACTGAACTCTGTCGTGTCTCTAACACGACATTATGTCTCTAGACATAATATCTTGGCTTGTAAAACTCTTGGCCTGCTGCAGATCACATTAAACTGAGTTATGGAATGTATTTTGGAGGCAGCGACAATAAAAATAAGACTTTCAAATGACCTTTTAGGTTCTTTAAGCAATTTTTAAAACATTTGCTAAAGAAACATAACAGAGAGAGAAAATAACTTTTACTTTTGTCACAAGCAAGGCCTGCTGAGATCCTATAACCAAGAAACTAAATGTTGTTTTTCTGGTGTTAAAGGGCATGATATTCTTTGTTAATCGGGAAATCTAGAATTTTATTTGATATCTTGGCAGAATACAGTGTGCTTATGATGAACTCGATGAATTTGACTCTGCCTGTTGGGTCAAAATCTACACAGATACATAGCCCTCACAGTACACTGGGAATGTTTTTTTAAAAAAAGTAATTCCCTAACTGTAGCTTTGTCAGATAATATAATTATATAGGGGTAGGGTTTTTTTAAAAGAGCAAATAGCATTCCTAATTTCCCCTCCCTCATCTTTTTTTCTTTTTTTTAAATGCAACAAACAGTAAAGATCCGTCTGGCTGGTGCCA